ATACACATACGTTACCTTGAATGGAGACTTTTTTCTCAGTGCAAAGGTCATTAGTCCCGTAAATGTAGTGCATATTTTATCGGGGTAGGTGGCGGTGATCTCTCGGAGGATGGTGGATCTAGTATCGGAGAAGAATCCGGCTCTGGCATTTGCCTGATATGATCAGTGAAACAACGGAAAACTACCAATCAAAGCAGTCGACCGCTACACTTCTCTAGACAGCGGCTAAGTTATCTAATATTAGCTATTTAGCTAGTGTCGAAAATCCTACCACCATCGCGACTCGAACCTTAGAACTTCCCGCTCAAAGACACCGCAGCGACATCAATAATAATTGATACTTTGAGCCACCTAAACCGTCCCAATGCTTGTTTCGGATTTGTTGATTTGGAAGTTTTAAAATGTGGAAATCATAAACGATGCAGTTAGTAATGGCTTACTGTAATTGGGTCCTTGATAGAAACAAATTAATACTTTTCCAGCAGGGGACATCCAATTCTCTGAGTGTAGAGAAATCATGGCTTCTTTCTGCCACCCCCAAATCAATTAAACTCTGGTGCTTCACCGGAAAAGTGGAATGGACTCCTGTATTTTGTTATAATGTTAAAGATTAATTAATTGGTTTGACATACATTTGGGACATTTTCCATTGGTGACAATCAAGGACAACCGAAAAACATTGAGAACATTTTTATTTAAAAAATGGTTAATTATGTTAATTACACTAATACATTACTACTTGAACAACATGTTCATTATAAAAAGTATTTCTTTATAGTAGTGTTCAGAACAATTTCATCTGTCCCCTCATTCACCCAAAGATCATTTATCACATGTTTACAAAGTACATGAGTATTTGTGGGTCAATACTACAAAAACATCGGGCTGGTTTATCTCAGCAGTGCATTTAGATGGTCAGTAGACTCCCATTATTGAGAGATCTGCGTCAACCACAGAAATATTTTATCTACTCTAAGAAAAATGTACATTTCAGCACTTTCCATTATCATTGAAAAACCGCAGATTTGCTTGGTAAAGCATTTGCACTTAATTTGTTTAGTTGCTGGCACATGATTTTGAGACATTTTGTAGGTTGATAACAAATTATATCTTTTTGTCAAAATTTAGATAGGAAAGTGCTCTTCTCTTTTTCATTTTTTCAAATGTACATGCTAACACATATATATTTATTAGTATTTAAATTGGCACTACTTTTTGTTGCAATGATCTATCTTATCAATTTATTGTTACAGAGGAAGTTTTGCAGTTTAAGATGCTTCTAGCCCTGTGGATCTTCATGTCTGCCTTTCTACCAAATACAATTACATTGTAATCTTCATTCTTGTCTTTAAGAATTTGCTCAACACTAACTTTAATAAATCTCTCTATTTAAAATAGGACGTTATTAAAATGATTATCTTCAACTTGTTACAATTCTACAAACCTCATGAATCCTTGAACTACCCTGGGAAAACACAATTTTTTCTTATACCCATTATAAATATGGTGATCTAAATATGATACTTAAAATACTGAATTTCAGACTGATGATTTAAAAAGGTATGTATTTAATTCAATGCACTAAATAAGCAATAAAATTAAATGAAATGAACATTTAGGTATCTGTACTTCGTTGTTATTTTTAAATATTGCAATAAATACAACATATTTGATATATTACTTCAGAATATATGAAATAAATATAATATCATGTAGTTGATTTCAAAAATAATTTATCTAATTATATTAATGTTATTTTTGAATTCATGAAAATAAAATTAAAAAAGGTATGCAACATTTGTCAGTGTTTCTTATTAATAGTATGCATCAAATCAGAGAATATAGTCAATAATATATATGTTTAAATAAAATTCATAAGACATGGTTACAAAAATTGAATTTCCTGGAAAAATAAATAGCATCATAAATTTCAAGCCCTCTTTTCTTTTCATATGTTATTTATAAAGGTACTTACTATTCTTAATTTCATAATTTTTTTACTAAGAATGGGAGTTTCAGTCTTTCATACTTGACTGATATATATATATATATATATATATATATATATATATATATATATATATATATATATATATATATATATATATATATATATATATATATATATATATATATTATATATATATATATATATATATATATATATATATATATATATATATATATATATATATATATGATATCAGTGTAAAATTATCAAACACTTCATAATATGCTCTCGTACTGATTGATACTCATTGAAATTCATACTTCAACTTAAAGAAACATCTCACAATTTGAACTATGTCAATCACTTGTATCTGAAGTGTATTAAGTCTTATTTAAATTCACATACAATTCATCAGTTCAACATTGACACAATTCAAAAAATACAAATTTTGTGTTATGACCATTATATTATACATTTTGAAATAGTTATTATTAATAGAACTTTTACAAAGTCTGTTAGCAATGCTTAATTCAACAATGACACGCATGTGATGCCTGCATTTCAACTGCCAGTGACTTTAATAACTTTTGTCTCTGAAATTCATTTTTTGAGTTGTGCCAGTATTGCAGACCGTGGATGATATATTAAAATTACATAAATACTTGGAGAAAGACACAAAAATTAGCATTTTGGCCTTAATTATGTATTATTTTACTGGATTATGTTTGTTTCTATTCAAAATTTCAAACTGACGTAACAGGTTTACCATCATAAAATAAGTTCATTGAACATAGTTATTAAAAACTATCGCAATGGTGATAATTTTGGCCTTTTGGGAACACTATTTCATTTACATTATAATGATTAGCCAGCCCTTTTCGAAAAAACTATAGATGTAGTCATGCTTAGTTACTCTTTCAATTCTCATTGTTACTCACATCTATGAAGATTACTTTCTTTTAATAAATTTGAACCCAAAACTATTTAATTTGAATTGAAAGAGATTGAAGAAATAAATTGTTTGTTATTATGCCATTTGGAGTCACTGCAGTAAGTAATATCAACACTGAATAGTAGAAATTTGGACATTGAAATTTTTTGCAAGACGTTTAATTTGCAACCAGTTCTAAGTGTTCCAAAACAAAAGAGGCTCTTGCACTAGTTCCTCTTAACATTTTAATTTTTAAATCAATATTTGCATATTATTTTTAGAAGGTAGATGAATGTTAGTTTTTATCCAATAAAACTAATGTTGACATTTCATACCACAAAAGTGACAATTATGAATTCATCGTACAAAGGAAATTATGATCTCAAAAGATTATTTTCTCAAAAGAATTACAATATAATAAATTAAATATAAAATTACAAATACAATTACAATATTAAGATCAAGTAACCATAAATCGAAATGCACTACAAAACAAGGTCTGTTTACATATCAGATAGGTTCTTTAATTGAATCAGGTTGAATTTGATAAATGTTCAGAATTGTTTGCAAAATAACAATACGGTTCAATGTTATTAAGTTCACTTATCAGAATACTGAACAAAGAACAACAATTGCTTCAATGAATGCAAGGAAACATCATGACAACAATGGCATGAATGCATTTGAAATTAGCATGCAAACAAATGACATTTCTATCTGTTATTGTATCACATAAATTTTAAAAAATTAATTTAATAATTTTGTTATTTACGGCAGCATAAAATACAACTAAAATCTTGCAGCATTGTATATTCAAACTTGTCCGAAATTGTAACATTGGGACACCTGATGAAAGCAAAAAGAAATTGATTGATGTTACAAATAGGTCTGCAGTCCTCTATTATATTATAAACTATTAAGAAGAGAAAATCTTAGCCTAAAAGAATACATGAAAAAGCTAAACAGAAACAAATAGACACGGCAAGGTTACTTGGCACAAAAAGTCTATGAAATGGAGAATTAGACTTAAATGTTCATTTTTTGTCACTCCATTCATTAAGTCAGAAATTCTGTTGTTTCCACTCAAAAAGGTTTTTTTTACATTCGATGATTCTAAATTATTTTAACCAAACTCTGTCAATCAAACAACCTATATCTAACCAACTTTAAGATAGAGTATATTATAGTTCCAGGCAGGAGATGAATGAAGACTTGAAGTTTATTTTCAATTGACATACTAGACACAATATTGGGTAGTTTATTGTAGCAAAAGATGTTCGTAAGAGTCGTTTGAAAAGTATTACCTTTCACAGTATACAAGAATTAAATTTTTGCCATCTGTAATGCGAACACGAGGATTTGACATTCTCTCGTCATGTGTCTGTAAATATGCAGTATCCCAGGGATTCTTTTAAATCAGTGAATGTTATGTGGAAACACATTCTGAATACTTTCTGTGAATTGTGGGGACTGACGCCATACTTTCTTACTTTGGACTCTTCACAGCGTGTCAGTTTACATCTCCTGAAAATAGGTGTATTTGAAAAGTATCTTCACGAACGAATGACGTGAGCATGCAAGTCTTTTTCTTGACATTAACTCTTTCTCTACAAATGCTCCAAAATCTGAATATCGTGCGAGCTGATATATTGCACTTTGTTCATTTTTTTTTTTTTTTACTTTCTTCATTTTCCAGACCCCACGTATTATCTAATTTCTTTCCCTCCTTTTGCATCCTCATCAATTCAGCGAGCACGACTCAGGTTACAGAAGCAGCGAAAGGGTTAATTTAAGACAAAACGATCCGGAGAAAGGACAGTGCCGGATTAACGTAACGTGTGACCCAAGGCTACCCGATAGAGCTGAGGCCATTCCTCTCCCCCTCCCCAACATGTATGTTACATGTACATCAAACAAAATCATAATTATTTCAGTAAAAAGCGCTTTAAATATAAAACAATTAAGAAATTAAAGCCAGAGCCCAATGCTGTGACCCTGGTAATTCGGAAGCTCCGGGCTGTCGCATATTTGCCCCAACAGTGAACCCGGCACTGGGTAAGAGATATGTGTAAACCCGCGAGGGCGCCAGGCGGGCGAGGTGCAGCAAGTCCTCAGGCGCTAGTGATCCACGCGTTCCGTCCCGTCCAGGCTGTAGGAGAGCGCGGGCAGCACTTCCACGTCGTGGGCAGCGGCGTGGGCGGCTGGGGCCGCTGCGACGGCCGCTGCCACCGCTGCAGCGTCGTCGTTCGCGGGCGCTAGCGCTGCAGTTGCGCCGGCTGCTGGAGCCTCCGCTGCCTCCATCGCCGCAGCCATGGCCTCCGCGATTGCCGCGAACGTCTCGCTGCCGGCGTAGTCCCTACGACAGGGGAACGATCAGCGGGAAAGTTGCATTGTGGCAAGTGAAACAAGCAAGCGAGATAGAAGTGGTTTGCGCGTGGTCAGTTCGCTGAGAGGGAGAGTTGGGCTTCTTCCAGCATCATCCTGTAATGGAATGATCCACTTGACATTTCTGGGTACAAGCCTGAGCTTAGCTCAGAGCCATCATTGTCGGTGGTTCTGCAAATGACTCTGATCGGGAGGTCTTAGGGATCGAGTTCCGCCGGTGGCGAATTTTCGACACTCGCTGCGTAGCTAGGTTGAATTCAGTCCTTGTCTGGAAGAGAAGTATAGCGGCCGGCTGCTCTGATCGGTAGATTTGCTTGGTTTCACCTATCAATACCAAGCGAATGCCGGAGCAGTGTCTTACAAATGGGCCACGAACCGCGTGCGGTCTTTCCTTGCTATACTTTGTGCTATTCTCCCCCTTCCTCACACAGTTACATTTACAAGCACTACACTACCACACATGTTGAGAAACCGGTCTTAGAGCTTGTTTCGGTTCGAGGGCGGGGGCTCTGCTGAGGAAAATTCCTGGAGAGGGAAATCTTCCACAAGCCGGCATGTAGGTAGGCGGTAGGTCTCATTATCCATGAACACCACCACCTACCGCGATAATCATTCACTTTATTAACAGGACTAATGACCGTAGCAGTTGATGTGCCCGGAAACATCAATCAATCAATCCTGGGCGCACTGTATGTACGTGACACATCTGAGTACCCTACCAAGAATTCTCTACGAGTATCTGCATTCTAAAGCAATATCGGTATATGTTATTTGCTACAGCAGTGAGAAAACATTGAAGGACGTGTGTGAGGGTATGCAACTTGTATCTCCTTGTGTTTTTGGAATATTCCCCTCTTCCAATGATCTTTATAAATTATTGCTTAGGCAATGATGGGTTGTTTAGTATAATATATAAAACAACAATGTTTGTTTGTTGGTTCGTACCTAATGCGCTGTTCATCCGATTGCGATAAAACTTTGCCAACTGATTGCTTGTACTTGTGGAACGAATATAGGCATAGTACAATGGGAATGTGCATATGTTTGCGCACATAGGCGCGCGTTAATAATGATTTTATGCTGACTCAAGCGCCTCTGAACAGGGCACTCTACGCAACGGCGCTCTCCGCAACACGCCGCATCCTGAAGTACGAGTATTTAGAGCATCTTCATAGCAAATTCTGCCCCTGAGGTAGTGAAATTTCTCCCGGGAGAGACAGATACACAGAGAGAGAGAGAGAGAGAGAGAGAGAGAAAGAGACAGAAGGAGACAGAGGCAGACAGGCGCAGAGAGAAAAACAGACACAGAGATACAAAGAGAGTAACAGAGACAGATGGAGAGGGAGAGAGACGAGGAGAGAGGGAGATAGACGGAGAGGCGCGAAGAGAGACGGAGACAGAGATGATTAGAGACGGGGAAAGGGAGAGGGAAGAAGATAGAGAAATTGAGGGTAGAACAACATCTGCAGAGTTCCGCTAGTACATACTTAATAATAATTGTTTTTCTATGGGCGCAGCTATTGCGTAGAATTTGAGGCAGAACCAATACGATGGATCAATACACGGCGCGGTTTAAAACTTGACAAAAACAAAGTGAAAATATGCCATTATTGTGACAAGTAATAAGTAAAACACATTCATTTAATGGCATTTTATTGTAATATATTTATTTAACATAGATCTAAACATAAGACGAATGAATGTAAAAATATATGTATTGTTTATGACAAAAATATTGAATTACAATAATAGTGTAAATTATTGAAAATATATTTTATTAACTAAATTTGTTAGCTTTCCGTTAACAAATCAAAAATTATTAAATAAATGGAAAGAAAACACGAGTCTGGATGATGTCGAAATGTACAAAATTAAATTCTGTAATGCCTAATTCTTTCATCTAAGGACTTCGCCATTTTGTTCAAATATATCAACATTTTAAATTTCTTGCTAGAATGTGTTCCCAAATTTTCAACTTAATTCTATACGGAGGCCTCCTACTATTATTGAGCTGTCTTTTCATATGCAATTGTCTGTGCAGTAACAGAAAATTTTAGAGATTAATACTGTCTTCCCATCTCTAAACTTAACTCAAAATCGTAAGAATTACGGAATTACTCTTGTCCGATAAATGCTTATGTCCGCTTCATGTCTTATGGCCACGAATTGATTTTTTTGATTCGGGATTCCAGGTACGTCAATTGCTATGGTCATTAGTACCGTTAGTGTGGTGAATGTTTTTATCTCGGGAGGTGACGGGGTTCCTCCACCGCTCCAGCAGGGCCAAACTCTGAGCCTCCGACATGTGTAGTAGTGTAGTGCATGCAAGTGTGTAAGAGGAGAGGATAGGACAAGGAAGAGGTAGGAAAGTTCACGTGCAGACCTTGACCCGTTTGTTAGAGATCTGCTCCGGTATTCGATTGATATTGATCGGAGAAACAGATAACTGGCTATCATAGTTGCCGGCCGATAGAATTCTCCTCCAGATAGCGACCAAATTCGACCTAGCTCTATAGCTAGTGACGAACATTCTGCTACTGTCGGGAATCGAATCCTGGGACCTCCCGGTCAAAGTCGCTGCAGAGGCAGGGTAAATGCTGGTTTTCAGCTAAACTCGGCCAGTTATGGTCGAGGAGCCTACACATGTATTGGTGTGTACAAGGCGATATCTTGTTTTGCTTTTACATAGATGTCGAGATTCTGCAGGTGTTCCCAGAAGATCATAACCTTCAAAAATTCAATTGAAGGCTCAAAAAGGTATCATGTATATTAAGACCTAAAAAAATAACGTCCTTTGGGGCCTCGAAACAGGGGTTTAAAGAACATAAGACACACGAGTAATGCACAATAAACTTTCAAGTGTGCTGCGAGTTCGTATGTGCATCTACCGCAAGGGGGCGCAAAACTTGAAATTGTACTTTTTATTGTTTATTTTTCTTTCTTTCGAACTGAGGATGAGTGATGAAGAAAATTGAGACGTTGGGATGTACCCCTAAAACATTCTTTTAACATGATAAGGTTAACATGGTTCAAGCCTCTTTGGGGACCACACACGGATGTATTGCATCGACCATTTAGCTATAAAAGAGCACATAAATGGGTACTTTTGAGTATTTATATTTATGATACAGATAATAATAAATAATAAACATAGGATGCACAAATATGGCCAAGAAGAAAACGCAAAGTATCTGCATATAGGTACAATTGTACTTCTATGAACCAAGAAAACAAACGTTTATTATTCATAATATCAATATAATAATATTAGCAGTAATCATAATATTGAAGAAAATAAATTCGAAAGAGAATAGGAAGGGTTTGGGCTCACCTGAAGTCCGCCCTGGGGGCGTCGACGGCGGGCGCCCTCAGCTCGTCCGCTGAGGTGGCGGCGGCGTGGAAGGCGTGGAAGGCGGGAAAGGCGGGGCTGGCGGCGGCTTCGCCCGAGGGACCGTCGATGCGCGAGTCGGCGACTGCAGTTCCGGCCGGAGCGGGCACGGAGGCCGCGGCTTGCGAGCGGAATGGTTGGATGGGGAGGTTAGGATGGCTAGGATGGGTGGGGTGGATGGGATGGGGTGGTCGGGTGACTTGAGACCCTGGGAAGCCTCCCTGGGTGCCTCCC